TTATAGTATTTCATGCATTGGGAATGTCAATATGTCTATGAAATTTTGTGTACATTTGTTATATTAAACTTACTCTCTGAAAAATACATAAATGTTAATTACTCTTTTTACAGATAAATTGAATCTTGTTTTTCAAAATTTAAAATGCTTCATTATTCTTCTTTAATTATGAATCAACAGATAGCAAAATTACTTGGCCAAAGAAAACTTTAAGTATATATAGATGTTTCTTAAAATACAGACAAAAATAAATCCTGTACACATCTACCGCTGCCCAGAAAAATAAATACTAACATTAATTTACATACAATAAATGCAAGTGATAACTTGGAAGAAAAATAGAAACAAAAAAAATTAAAGTAACTTATACATTACCCTGAATTCTTAACTACAGATTTTCCTATAACACAAATCACAAATTCTCAATTAAGACATTTTCTATAACAGAATGCTCAATTATTACAACTAAATAATTTTTGCAAAGAAAAACAACCAAGACATACTAACAGGTACAATAAAAAATAGCAATTAACTTGAATAATGATATCAAAAGAAACTGTCAATAATATCCTCTGTTCTTTTCAATCTGAAAAACAGATTTTTTGGTTGTTGTAAAATTTAAAATTTCCTTGGATTAAATTATGTACAAGAACAAATACTTCAAAGCAATCTTTTTTTTTTGATTTTGGCTCAAAGTTTTAAAGTACTGGAACTCATTAGTGACCACAGAATAGTTATATATAACACACTTCTTTAAATTATCAATCTGTGTTTGCACACAATTCTGAAAAAAAAATATTGAACAATCTAGTTATAATTTTCCTATACTGAAAATAAATTTCTGATAAGTACTTACCTTCTCTCACATAAATAGCTAGAATCTCACATTGAATAGGTGGAGAGACCAGTCCAAGGGAAAAACAAAGAAGCATTCCTAGAAAGTGTCCAAGGAACATCTTAAAAGAGTAGATCCTTGCATTAGAGGATCATATATGGGAGACTGCACCACTTCCGTACCAATTATACTCTTCGCCCAGTGTGGAAAGAGGTATTGCAAACATGGGCAGAAAATGGGAGGAGCACATCCAAACGGGAGAGAACATTGGTTGGATAGGGATCCGAACCACAATATATCAGAACCTCAATCCCAAAATACATTAATGTCGGTGAGAGTAAAAGGATGTGCCCCTAGGTGTAGAGTGGCTAGGGCATAACAGCCCATTCATGGCAAGTCAACTGCATCCAAAACCCAGTTGCAGGGAACTGACATCCACATGGGGTAGAGTGAGGATCATACTGGAGGCAAGACTACTACAATCCAAAACCCAGCCATCTGGTGGGGGTAGGAAAGAGGATCATACTGTCTTCACCTCAAGTTCAGTAGAACAGAGGGAGTCTCATACTCCCCAATCTATGAACGCAACACAACATCCAAACGAACGGCATTATAAAGATGTTTCTGTAATGGAAACTAACCCACTCAAAACCATCCGACAGGAACCACCCCTAGCAAAATAACATCCATGGTATTTGAAAATCATCTAGTGTTAGCATAAGAGAAAGAACCATATTAGTCTGCAAGTTCTACCACCGTGACCCACAACACAAGTGGAGGGAACAAGAGTATAAATGATAGTTTGGTAGAACAGAACAGAGGGAGTCACATGTGTCAGGAGAGTGTGTCATACTCCTATTGGTGGAGGGTTGTTGCATGAAGATTACATACAAGACACAGTTGAACCATTTGATTGGTAGATATGTGGGAGCTCAAGGCTTGTGGCATGCAAACAAATATTTTTGCATACAGAGAGCATCACTGAAGGAGAATAGCTATTTATGTGAGCGGAGGTAATGTACAATATTGGAATTCTAATATTCATTTTTATGACTTCTCCAATGATTTTGTAAAATACTCAAAAGAAACTATTCACACGCAAAAAATATTTTCTTCAAATTTATACTTTTAAAAAGTATGAATGATATTTAAGGGATGAAACATTTTTGTAATGTTACATTAAATACATTTTTCTTTATTTTTCCTTTATCAAATCAATGCTAGAAATAATCAATCAAATCTTCTGAAATTCACTGTACACGCACACACAATAAAAATTTTCTTTTCACTGGTAAATAATATGTTAGGTCACATAAACAACTAGTTTCAAGTGAAGATTCTATATGGAAATGTTTCCATGACAAACAACTAAAAAGTACAAGTAATTTTAACTAAAAATAAAGTATCAGTAGTACTAGTTTAAACCAGTTTTTCTGTACATTTTCTTGCAATTATTCAATATGTTCTGCTTTTTGTACTTTTTACAAAAAAGTACCATAATCAGTTTTGGTTTTGATTTAAGATTCTCAAAAAGCTGTGGGTTATTTGTGTCTGCAATAGTAATAGCTAGGGCCTGGAAATAAAACAAAATCATAATCTGTGAGTTAACAAACCTTAAGTGCTAGAAAAATTATAATGATACCATGGCTTACCCTCACCATGTGAAGTTTAAAACCATTGCATTGCTGTATGCACTTGAAATTTGTGGTGTAACCTTTTTTTTTATTCCGAGTCCATTGTTTATAAAGGCACCATAAGTTCTGTGTACACTTACATTTGAAATCAGATGGTAACTTCATTTTTATATTATTGATCACATAAATAAAATTTCAACTTTTCAAATGTTCATAAGTTCTAAATAGTCTCCATGTTCAGTTTGTGGGACTTTAGACCAAATGTTGTGCATAGATTCCCATTATGGATGTGAATTTAACTACTGACCAGAGATCTGTGAACTGATTTCAAGACTGGAGTTTGGAAAACAGTACATTACTGTGCATATAATAGCCAGTGATTTAGGACTTGACATATCAGGATATTTCCAAGAATTCACGCTCTTGTTGGATGTAATTCAACCAGTTCATTTAGTGGAAAAAGAAAAAAAAAGAAATGGATCAATATTCTCTCAGATAACCCTGACATTTAGCAAGGGTAAAAAGAGTTAGAACAACCCATATGACACAATCTGCTCACAAACTTGCATCTTATGTTTACGTAAAGAAAAAGCAGTGTGTACCACTTTATGAGCTGAGGTATGAATGTTTTTCCAAGAAATGTTTGGCTAGTGGCATGTTACCACCAACAATGGATGATTTCCAATTTCACCTTCAAAGAGTGAATTACTGATCACACACAGGGTTCCACAATGAAGCCAAGGCTGCTTTAACCAGTTGAGAAAGAATGGCATGTAGATGTAGACAGTCAAATGACAGTGCCCACTCAGAAATCAAAACCATCTGCACCAGATGGATTATAAATCTTCACAAAATGTAGAGTCAAAGGTGACTGTAGCAACAGCAAACATGTTCTGTATTAATGCCTGTGATTAAAAACAAAGGGGCCACTATAGCAATAGCAAATGTACCATTTAGATATATGTTCTTTAAATCATAATCCAGATCTGGACAGTGATGAGGTTGAGAGTGCTAAAGAGTGCAACACTGCTGATGGCTAGAGCTTTGCTTCATAAATGCAGTGGTTATGAATAGGAAAGTCCCTTTATATTAGCACAAATCCTATGCTGGATATTATTCTCATTAACTGAACAATACAAACTGAAACATTTTATTACAAGTTTTGATTATTTCTTTATGAGCATTTTTAAACAAAATATACAAATACAGCACTGTAAAATTACATAAGTAAACTACATATTTCCCTGTAGTTCAAAAGGGAATTTGTAACTTTAACTACCTTCGGCATGTTAGTTCTAACATACAGTTGTATTACAATATGAAATAAACAATAAAATAAAGATTCACTGGAAAGAATCTGCTAGTATCTCTAATTCATATTTTTGACCTAAAATAATATACATGTATGAATGGTAATGACAAAATAAAACCTTATGAGAAAATGTGCAAATTGGCTGTACTAGCAATTTTTGACAAATAGCTCTTCCAAAAAAGGTGCACTGCAAATCTCAAGTGCATATAGCAGTTTTGAACTACCTATGAATAAGAATAAATCATGGAATATTTGGAATTTTTCTAAGAGGTCAGGTGTGTATGATGACTTGCACCCGATCTCTAGGTCCTGGCTGTAGTTAAGATAACCAAAACTTTCATGGAGAGGAAAATTAAAGCTGCCTTTGCTTTCCCAATAGACCCATGCCAATTATTCTTCATTATCAGTACATCAAATATTCTATCCTTACAGAATCATTTTAACTCACACACTTCTGTTATTATAAAGTTTGAATACTCTTTTCTGTCACACTTGATATACACATTCCAGCCAAATGTATCTGTATACTCCACTGACAGTATGACATGGCCTACCCAGCTTGACCTATAGGAAATTTAGTAAATATATATTCAGAAACACCAAATGGTAGGTATATATAGCATCAAATTGTGTCCATGATGCCAAATTGTAAGTTTAATAGACAGAGCCATCCCTAGGCAAGATTGTGGCCTGTGCAAACTTTGTATTCAGCACCCCTGCTCCTGTAAAATTGTGGGGGAACTGCTAACTGCAATGTCAATTTTGGTGCCCCTTGGAATGGCTGCCCTGTGCAGGTGCACATGTCACCCACCCCAAGGGCCAGCTCTGTTAAGAATAAAGATTACACTAGAAGTGTGGAAAATTATGAGATAATCTCAATGCTTAATTGTACATTATTTACTATCCATCAGACTATCCACTGGTATGGGGAAAACCAAAAGTATTGAAGTATAAGAAAATTTCACTGGTTAAAAATGAGAAAGTGATACTAAAAAACACCTTTGTTACATTTCTTGTGACTTTACTGCATTCAGTGTAGCTACATGTAAATGGGTACCACCTTTGAGGACTATGCAGCATTCTCTCCATTAATGTATGTACTTAAGAATGGCTAGAATATGCCAAATGTAGTTCAAATTCATTTCCCTTGGTGTAAGGCCCATCACAACTGGGATCTTAACATACAGTTGTAAAATTGGTGGAAAGATAAATCACTTGATCCAATTTTGAAATCATGATCAAATACAAGTCTGTAAGCAGGTGAACAGTAAAACTGTTATAAATTGTCCTTCAAATGTTATGATATGGGCTGTTTCTGTTCACTTGACAAAGAATCTATCTTTGAAATGTATGCATGTCTAAATATTCATCAACATTAAAAAATATTACGTGCACATATTCCAGGAGATAGCATGATGTCACTGGATATTTTTAAGTCAAAAAGATAATACTGCTAAGAAAAATCTAATGTCTGTATCAAAAAACAAAATCAATTATGGAATGGCTGATGAGAGATGAAATACTACTCTAGGAAACATTACTGGGGCCATCTGGTGGGGTGACTCAAAGGATTATAGACCACAGCATTCTGGTTATCAATGACTAGTCCAACTTTTGAAAGTGTCATGGAGACAAATTGATCCAGATGCTTTTTTCTAATCAAGTTGAAAGCATGACTCACAGAATAACAAAAGTTAACACTTTTCAACACTGAAAATTTATTTGCAATAAATACCCCCATTCACATAATGGCTTTCCTTGATTTATGCTACCCTCTATATGCATAATTTTCACTTGCCATGAGCTTTGAGACTCACACCTAACTTCATGTGATTACACGTGGTATAACTGCATTGTAGTATGCAAACAAGCATGTGACAACCCTCCACCAATATTAGTGCGACACACCCTCTTGTCGCTGCTGACTCCCTCTGTAGTGTAGAGCACAATCATCACTTCAAGATTAAGCAAGAAAATGTGTGTCAGAAATACATTTTCAATGTTGGAAAATGTTAACCTCCAAAACGATACTTCCACTCACATAATAGTTAGAAACGGTGCTCAGAGAACCCATGGAGCATGATACCCCAAACCATGAAAATAAAGGGTCACACCCATGGGAGACTGCACTTCACCTGTACCAGGATATACTCTTCGCACCCTGAATGAAGATACATGTTGCTAAGCCAAGTGGAAAAGGACGTGTCAGATGGTGAAGAGTGTCTACGGTACATCAGACCATATCTGGTGGATCAACTCCAGTCCAAAACCAGGAGGCATCAGGTGTGTGTTTTCCAGTCCGTAGTAGGAGAAGGGTCCTCAAATGTCTTCCCCTCTAGTCCAGGAAGCAGAAGGGAAAAAGCAACTTCTGTTCCAATAACCTAGACAGGGCAAGTGTGCAAACCCAGTACACAAACAACACCAGGCCACTCGGGAACCCAACATCCAAGCAACAGTAGAAAGGAGGAATGCAAATGTGGTGGGTCAACTTCAGTCCAAAACAAGGCAGCATTGAGAATTTTTCATCTGGTGCACAGCATGAGGAGGGCCCCTCCCAACAACATGTGTGAGGACTTATTTTAGCTGGTCCTGCACCAATCCAACACCAGACTGCTTGGGAACTGACATCCAGGTAGTAGTAGGATGGGTGAATTGCATATGGCAGATTCTTCCAGTCCAAAACTGGGTGGCATCAAGTATGTGACTTCCGGCCCACAACAGGAGGAGAGTACACGCTCTCTACACCAACAGAACACCACCATCTTACTCTCTGCTGAGTGGAAGTGGTCACACTCAGGAGGAAGTCTCCATGGTCTATCACTCCAGCAGCTAGGAACACACAAATGGCAAAGACTTCCATACTCCACTAGAAGATGGAGGGAATGCAGTGGGGAGTTTAGAGGAAGGCAACACCTTAAGACTTTGAAAAGCAGTAAGCTCCTGATTTATTCAAATAGGATGGAGGGAAGGGCACCAATCCTCACACTGCTTTACTCATGATAGTACATGAGTTGGTATGGTCTGGAATGGACCTTATTTATGAAGCAATATAATGTAAGAAACCCTTGAGTAGTCTTGTGGAACACCTCATCTAATCAGTAAGCATTACAGACCCTAAAGGTTGCATGGTGCAGATTCAAAGTTAAGTATACCCAGACAGGCACCACTCACCACTGAGTGGGATCCAGAGATGTAGAAATAGGTCACTGTAAAAGGAATATATAAGAAAAAGAACTTACCCACTCAGAGTCAGCAAATCATGTAGAATGACAACGAGATGAAGTCAATATCCCAAAGAATGATAAAGAGAATGTGTGATGTTAGTATGGAGGGCAGTTCACATGCCAGCCTGCATGACCTCCAGCAACAAATGATGGAAGTGAGCAACCAGAGAGAGCAAGGTGAGGGATCTAGTGAGATGAAACCTAAAAAGAGTCAATGTGAATCTACATCTAATAAAGCATAGGTTGAATGGATGAGCTGATTTCATCATACCATGAGGGTAATGGGAGAAATATCTCGGGGAGATAAGGAATTCTATTAAATAAATAGATGGAGCAACATGGGCCAAGTAACAATGAATTGCACAAATGGGACAGAAAAAACAATTCCGGTCACAACGAGACTATAAGTGAGAAATGGAAGGAAGGAAAATAGAGGTGAATGCATATTCTCCTTCATGAGCCACAAACATTTTAGGGAGTAAAGCATGAGTAGGATAACAAAGAATAAGAGAATGATGGAAAAAACGATGGTAAGCATCAATGGCATACATATCAGATCTACAGCCATAGGCAAAAAGGAAAAAATAGGACTTAAGCAAAAGATGCTACAGGGATCAAGAGATTAAAGGTGCAAAAGGAAAGAGGGTAAGAGCATGGAAAACAGTATTCTGGCCCTAATCAAGAAGGGCTGTCAGACAAGGACGAAGATGGCAAAAAGAACGAAAGGGAAGGAGAAGAAATACATCATGATAATGGGAAAACTCGAAAACGGTAGGTATAGTTGCCCTGTAGCCAGCAATGGTCGAAAGCGATAAGCCTTGGGCAAACAGCCATGTAAAAATTCAGAAAGATGGGGATAGAAGGACAAGAAATGGAGAAAGCATGAAACAGAGGGAGGAAGAACAAATGGAAAGAGAAAGAAGGAAGACTACACATGAAGAGAATCTGGAACATCTCACAAGGAACCAGACCAAACCCATGTGTGAAGCCGAAGTAACATCACTGCCAGATGGGAGAGAGTGGAGTGAGGTTGAAGGAGTAGGGAGCATGACAGAGGTAAAGGAAGAAGAGGAAAGGACCAGAAAAGGTTAAATAGAGGAAACCACAGCTGAGCTGGCCAGTGCAGAGCAAGCAGGAAACTCAACACAGAATTCACTACATGAATGAGGAAAAGCACATGAGGGAGAAGATGAATAGGAGGATAGGCATAGAGAAAAAAGTTGGACCAGTCCTGACTGAATGCATCCACAGTGAGAGCTGAGGGATGAGAAACCAGGGGCCAGAAAAGTGAAAGTATGGTGTTGAGACAAGTGGCAAAAAGAAGGGGAGTTCCACTGGATCACCAGAAAATCGAGAGACCACTCCATAAGTAGTCTTTTGTTGGGCCTGTAAAGACAATCAGTGACAAGAATTAGGGCACTTGGAATATTACAAGTTATTAGACATATATGCAAAGAATGGGTCCAGAAGAAGAGGTTGAGAGCAGGGAAACAGAAAAAGTGAGACTGGATACTCCCCTAGCAATATATATAGGAGACAACAGCAGATTTGGCTGTATGGATCATCACCAGACGTCCAAAAGCCATCATAAGAAAATGGTTCAAAGTTCGACGTACCACCAAAACTTCTAAGAGAATGACAGGAAGGTATGAATCATCATGGTATGACTGACCCAAAATCACTTGATAATTGAGACATGCCCCCCAACTTGTCAAGGAGGCATCTGGAAATAGATGGAGACCCAGATGTGAGGAAGGAAGAGGAACACCTTCTTTGGTATTGGGTGTATCAAGTCATCAGGTGAAAGCTTTGAGTAAAGAAGGAGGAAGGAAAATGGTGGAGGACAAGGGAATGCAAGTGAGGAACTATTGATCATGCAGAGTCCATTATAGACCTTGCAAATGAGCATGACTCAAGGGGAGATGAAATTCCAGGGAAGCCCAAGTCCCCAACAGAGAGAGAACCTCCCATACAGTGAAAGAAGAAGAGGATAGGGCATGAGAAACTAATTTCTCCATGTCCCTCAAAAAAAAAGTGCATATGAGAGAAAAGGAAGACAAATGGACTAGAGTTACAAGGGCATCATACCCGAACAAACTCTAGCAACAGATCAAACAGATATGAAGGGATAAGGCTAAGGAAGATAAACAAACCACTGTAGAGAAAATAAGTGAACGAGCATCTGCCAAAAACCCCTCAGGGGAATGGTGGATTACCACTGAGAGAAGGTGAATAGATGAAAAATAGTGGAAAGGGGTAGAGGGTATAAGATGAAGGCGAGAAACTTAAGCCTAAGAAAAGATGATTGAAAAACAGAAGATCCAATCTCCAAGTTTGAAGAAAAGACTCCAGAGTTTAAGATTCAAGGAGAGGCAATACAGAATGAAGTTAGGCTTAGCCATACGAGGTAACAAGAAACAGAGGACGAGGCATACTTCACCAAAGTAGTGGTAAAAGGAACTGAATATGGACTAGCATATTTGGATAAAAAGAAGAAGCAAGGAATGAATTACAAAGAAAAGGAATGAAATATACATGAGAAACCTAGTCTCGAAATTATAAAAAGGGCTTAGGTAGATTCAAGACAGCACAGGTATAAGATAAGAAAAAGGTAAGTAATGGGAAAAAACCTGGCAAAATTCCTGCTTTCAGGAATGAGAGATATAAGTGGAGGCATATCAGGTACAAAAGAAGGCACTAGCTGCATGAACTACTCTACCACCCGCTGCACAAAAACTGTCACTTTTCCCAACACTAACGTAGGTATGATACTAGTGTGAACAACATCTTGTTGTCTCACACAAGACAAAGAAGAAGTTACTTATTCTAATGTGGTAATAAAAGGTCACAAAATCTACATGTTTGGTTTGGCTTGTTATGGATTTCGGGCAAAGCTACATGAGGGCTATCTGTGCTAGCTGTCCCTAATTTAGCAGTGTAAGACTAGAGAGAAGGCAGCTAGTCATCACCACCCACTGCCAACTCTTGGGCTACACTTTTACCAACAAATAGTGGGATTCACCGTCACATTAAAACGCATCCATGGCTGAAAGGGCGAGCATGTTTGGTGTGACAGGGATTAAATCTGCATGTACAGAAAATGTTGGAAAGCAAAACTCCAACAATAAATACTTCCACTTAAAAAATGCCTATCTCTGAAAAGTGAAATATAAAAGACATGTTGTTACACATTAGTGCTAAATGGAGAAGTTATGATTGTGCTCTACAGTATAAAGGGTGTCAGCTGCACATGGATGGTGTGTTGCACTTCTATTGGTGGAGTGTTGTCACAAGCTCAATTACATACTTCATGCAGCTATACCACGTGTAACCACATGAAGTTAGGTGGGGCCTTCAAGGCTAGTGGCAAGCAAAAATTGCACATATAGAGTGCAGCACAAATTAATAAAAGCTATTATGTGAAAAGATGTAACTTATCATATAAGAAGATGTTCAATAAAAGTACAGTGTTTTACTATATTAGAAATAATGATCACTACAGACATTCTCTATGAACAGTTATCAGGATACTTTTAGCAGGAGAGTCTATATGTCAACTTGTTCACTCAACTCCTACTGTGTCTTCTGCATGACAGATGTTTTTATCATCAAAATTTATTCTAACATAGTCTTACTTGTCAGTTCCAACTTCAAGCATAATTATTGAAAAGCTACATAACAATATACAAGAAACACTCATAAAACTATATTACAAATCGTGTTCAGTATTCCTTTTATTTTGACCACCATATGAACAGAGAAATTTAATTTGAATACACAAATAGGAAATTTGTCAGAAAAGCTGTTTTTGTTCCAATAATTTTATAAAAATACATAATTTAATAATGAAAAAGCTTATTTATGTAATTAAGGCATCTATAAACACATACACAGTATTTTTGCCTTGAACGATATTTGAATTATGTTTTCACTTTCCATTAGTTTTTACTGAATATTCAGTAATACCTAGAGAACATTATCATGTAACAGCTAAAGACAAAATGATATGTTGAAATTATATAAGTGACAAATTCATAAACTAAATATTTCACTGAAAATTGAACTGCTACATTAAGCTAATATGCCAATAAAATATACAAACTATACAAAATGCCCAAATTTTCCAAGTTTCTGTGCAATTTAGGAGCTGTAAGGTCCTGGAGATTGGAAGGCTGAATGGAGCATTAAAAATGGCCTTTGGTAATAAGAACTGATTATTAACTGAATATGCATGGGGTCAGTCCATTGGATCAACCCTGTAATGGAGAAGGAATATTGCGTATAATTCCAAATTTACTATGTGTATCTACACGGAATGTAGCAAGCTTTAAGTAAATTGTACAAGTCTGATGTACACAACAACTCAAAGGAGTTACAAAGGTAGTTATGCTCAAGAACTAACGATGTTAGACTCGGACTCTGAAAAGTTGGAACAAGATTATGTTCGTGTGAAGAATAAGGATAATTTTGTTCATCATACAGTTTGCATAACTGTATTAGCATAGCCTTTAGAATCTCTGAAATGCATATCTACATTTTTTTTCAGTATTCCCATATAGTGTACCTGTTATTTACTTTCCTCTACTGGGGACTAAATCAGCAATAAAGAGCAAAATTCATAGTTGATAACTCTGACATCAGATACATAATATCACATTGAATGACACTTTGCAAAAGGTTCATGGCCTGTGAATTTTTACCCCCACTCATGCACAATTTTAATGGTTAGTTTCGGACATTTCAACTAAAGCTCCACATAAAATAATAAGTAGTTTATCCATAAAGAAGAACAAGGCATATTTCCTATAACTTTCAATGATGTGTTTGTCCACTGAGCGTTTTGTGACCCAAAGTTTAGCACAAACAAATAATCATCTTATAAATAAAACGAATGTTCGCTAATTATAAAATTTCTTTTTTTTTTACTTGTTACTGAATCAGAAACGTTTTCTATGCCCAATAAGATAATTTTATTCCTTTCACAAATTCTTGTTGGATGATCCTTGGAAAATGAAAACATAACACTACTCTTGTAAAAAATAACAAGATACAAGTTTCAAAATTCTCAAAACACAGTTACTGGTATAAGCTTCTGCTTAGTAGAATTTTCTTAAACAAATTATATACAAAGTTTTACATATATAACACCCTACTTAAATGTCTGATAATTACTTTAAGCATTAAGGCACTAGATGTATGGTCATCTTACCCTTATACTTGTACCTTTAGGCTCTATGATAAAGCTTTCATGGGCCTAAATTTGCATCTACATTTATGTTATTTACAAATCAGGCTTTCTTTCTTGTTTTCCTCAACAGATGGCAGTACCCAATGGAAAGATATAAAACAAAAAGGTATATATATAGTATCATGGTTGCCTAGGAAAATTACATACAGAGTACTTTATATACACATATTTATGAATAATAACTAGGATAGAAGATTTTGCTACTAATTTTGCAATCGTCTAAATCTGCAAGAAAATATTATACTTTATTGACATGAGAAGAGAAGGGTTAAGAGGTCTAAATTCAGCAGTTACAAAAAGAAATCATCTTATCAAGTTTTACACATAAAAGGTAAAAACTAATAAACTGAAATTCATGAAAGCATGTTTCTATTAAATTTCAGATGCAGTAGGAACTGTTTGTTCTTGTGCCATCTCTAACCTTTTACGCTCTTTTTCTCTCATCAAGGCTATGCGGTAAGCTTCATACTTCATGACAATCTCTTCAACTTCTTTCTTGTGTAACCGTTTAAGCATACCTTCAAAACAATCCAGTTCTTGGAGGGGAAACATTTCCCACTAAAAAAAACAGCATTTATATATGACATGTGAAAAACAATAACTGATTACTGAAACAAAATAGATTTATTGTACCCCACACACGTAAAGCAGATAATTAATTAATTACTTTTTTTAAATAAAAATTGCAAAAACATTGTTAGTGTCCAATTAACTAACTAAGTTTACAGTTTTTGCTTTCACAGCAACATTATAAATATATATGCATCAATCAGAGTGATCAAAAAAAGTTTTTTATAAATTTGTTAAAGAACAAATAATAATACCACAGTAATCACAGAAAATACAAATAAAATACATTATCAAATAGCACAAACAGCTATTTCCTTATTAAAAATCACCGGCTTGATAAATAAATCGTCTGGGATTTCAAAAAGTACCTATATTTTCTCATTATAACTAATTATACTTGTTATAAGACATTATTATTAGGCCTATTATATTTTTAATGTCTACATTCTATATCTAGTCCCTTATGAAAAAAATATTGAATAAAAATATTTTTGTTATCACTCCTCAAGGAACATACATAGTTATACATCCCATGATATAACCTGGAACTTTTTCACAGTAAACTCTACACACTCCTGCTGGATGATATATTGCTTGTCACTGTTATTACACACAGTTTAGAGAGAAAACACTAAAATTAAATGAAAGCAGTTGTTAATAGGTAAGAAGATGAATAATTCTAATTGTCTGTTACAATCTGCAATTATTCTAGAGAAAAAAAAAGGTATTTTTGCTTCTTTTTTTTTCAATTTTTTTACAGATAATTTTGCTATAGTTAGTATTAGATAAAGTTTTTCCAAAAAACATTATTCATTTAGGTTCTAGAAGTTACAAAAATGAAAACTTTAAGATGAACGTTATTCTTAGCAAGAAATTTAACTTTACTCAGATTGACTCATTAAAGGTTTCATAACGTCACAAATAAGTTTTCAGCAAAAAATGCTTTATTAAAAAATCAGATTTTTGTGCACAACACACGTGTAATGTTTGCTACAAAGCTTGCTAAATTTTGTAAAGAATCATGTACATTTAGTTATAGTATGTATAGTTTTATGGTTACATATTTGTCCAAATGACCCAGCCCGCATACAAAGAATTAATCTATTAACTCAGCCCACATACAAAGAATTAATCTATTAGTGTCATACTCAAGGAAATAATCCACTAACTGAAATATTATGTTTGTCTTTTGTTAAGCAAATAAGTTACACAATGGGCTATATGTCCTATGCCAACCACAGGTATCAAAACCCAATATTTAGTGTAATAATTTTCTTTTTAGCCATCTTATGAGAATAATGTTTTTATTCTTTACCCATTTTTTGGGAATAAATGGTTAATTGAATTTAACCAATTAATAAGCCTAATGATTAAATGGTTAGCAAATTCCAATAATTGCCCAGCTCTAATTGTATTACAATCATAGAATGATTCAAAAAGAAAATGTACACCAACTATTATGGCTGTCTAAAAAGCCATTTTGAAATGACAGTGAAAATTCAATCATGATTTTTAGAAACTTCTTAAGGCTCTCAGGCCATTTGAATTGTGTGTTTGTGCATACAAAATTACCTTGCTTTAAAGCATTTAAAGCTGTATCAAAACATGTACATGGTATGTTAATATTAAATACTATTTGCAAAACAGCTTTAGTTAAAAGTTGATATTCATATAATGATGCAGAGTTGTAGCCTTAAAAAGAAATCTAAAGAATTTACATCTGCAACTAAAAATTACATTGCCAACCATACTAGGGTGACAAAATATCTTTGAAAATAAACAAAACATACTTAACACCAGACTTCTGCATACTTTATTCTCTGCTAAAACTCCCAAAACCAAACATATAAATTTAATTAATATTAACTTTCTTGTCCAGGTGGGTGCAGTCTGCCTCAAGGGCAAAACTGCACTATTGAAGTAAACCAAATCATTAGTGTTTGTAAATTTCCTCTCGGCATAATATGGCACTCATGGCCTGATAGAAAAAAAGTCATAATAGTTTTGAAGAAAACCACTAACCTGTCCTTGTAACTTTAATACAAGTATAGTTTGATTTTTAATCAATTACTGTTTCTCAATCTCAACTGCTATTATACGATGTAACTGCCTATACCTAACTTCGAGAAGTCATACTCTAATCATTTCAACACATCATGAAAGCTATTTTCCATTCTTTTCACCCATAAAAGCCAATAAGTCTTCTCATGCAATAAAGATTCCCATGGAAATCAGAACAAAAGTGAGAAAGGCTTAGCTTGGTGATACGTTGTTAGAAGAAAAGGTGTTTGTGAACAACTTCCACAACATACAATTACAGTCCTGATACATTTTATCCTTTTACATATCATTTGAATTATAACACTGAAGTATGATACAAAAATATTATTTTATAGAACAAGATAGAGGTAGGCTAAGTTAAATAATTATACACTCAGCTGTATCAAGTTTAATTTGGCTGACAAGACTATTGTGTTAGGTCTTGTTTGCATTAGGACTTTTTGGCTTAAATAACTACTTGAATAGGCAAAGAAAATCATCAAAAAGAAATAGAAAAAAATATATATATATGAATGAATATAAAATGGGCATGAAACTTATTACATTTATTGACTTAAACTTTCTGATTAAAAGTTTTAAAAAGTCAGCTTGCTTCTAAGTTTGATATGGTAAAAAAAGTTATTTTTATTGTACAGTAGTGACCGTAAACAAAGTAAAACTGCATATACTGTTTTATCAATCAAAACAATTATAAAATTTACACTTTATAAAATAAAAATTCACAGGAAAGTTTTAACAGAATGTAGAAAGAGTTAAAAATCGGTTATTAAAATAAACAATATAGATAAGTATTTTTAAAATAACAGTAATAACAAGGATACTATTTTTACCTTAATCTTATGATCAGAAGTTGATGGGGCTTGGGAATATATATACAGCCAGTGTGGTATTTCTGTTAGGATATAACAAAAGATTAGCAAATATCAAGTTGAAGTCATTATCTTAAAATTCTTTCAGTAATAGCAGTAGTAGTCATAACCAGCAGACTTTAGTAAGAATTGTGCTAAATTACCTGTATGCTAAGTACACAATAGAAAATTTAGAAGTAATTAATGTACATCACAAAGTAAAAACCCAATTCAACCTGAATAACATTAACCAATGTAAATTTATGCAACCAAGTGTTCACAAGTGACATGCAATTGTGTGTTTTCAATCTAATTAGTAGAGAACTGTTCTTAGAAATCTGTAAGGAAAAGATTAATATCCTTGACAAGCAGAGCATCAGGTAATAAAAAAGTGTTTTCAGGTATATAAAAATCTGCCAGTACTCTGAAAAACAAATTTTCACAATCTAGTCTTTAAAATCAATATATATACATATACTCACCCTTATTTAAAAATCTCAATTTAAAGACATAAAAACAAACTTACCTATAGCATATTCTAAACAATTAGAAACAAATTAAAAACCCCAATTCCTACAGGATAAGTTTTCTTTGTTTCAAGGTTATTTGTGGAAGCAAATTTTAAATATTAATCATAACATCCCTATCACTACAATAAAAAAAGAAAAGATGATATCTATGGGGAAAAACTAAAACCCTATGCTGGATTTAGATATAAAAATTACAACATTAAAACAATGTATGAATCAATTTTAGTACTCTAGACTTGTTATTAGCAAAATAGTTACCTTCAGTAAGGTATGGATTTGCTGGTACTATTACATTATGTTGGTGGTAAGTATTACGTAGAGGAGGAGGATGATCAGGAACAGCTGGTTGATGTATAACTGGAGTCAAATGACCATACTGTGGAGCACAGGGATGCTCATACTGGGCTTGCTTTGTGATATGGCTATCAAAAAAATACATATATACATGAATTTAAAGTAGTGCACAATACATTTAAATCTAAATTAATTAATGCTAAAAGTTTGTTTTTATTCTGCTCAATTGAAAAAGCAAAGTATATCACTAATAGATAAGAAACTATCCTTCTGAGTACTGATACAAATATTTGCACTCATTATTAGAAGTACAGAGAGATAACAGTACATACTTAAAGTAATAAACTCCATATTCAGGAGATTCAATTCTTTCCCAGCCAGTAGGTAATCCTTCTTTCTCTAATGGGTGGCTCCAGTGAGTAGTTTTAGTATTGTGGTCAATGTAGTACTTTCGTCCACGCATGGTATAGCCAACTGACCAACCTGGTGGTAGCGGTAGCTCCTCTGGCTGCTGTTGTTGCTGCTGGAAATGTTGCTTATGACTGTTGTCTACAGTAGAAGATGCAGTTACTGCTAGAGATGGGTGAGAAAATGGTTTAACACCACAGAGGGCTGGATTGGGCTGGTTATTTCTTCCAGAGCCACTAGCAGAAGTTGGAACTGGAGATGTCACTGATTGTGATAAGTGTAATGGATCTGAGACAAGATGAGAGGATGTATACTGATTTGTAGATTTAAACAATGGAGATAGGAAAGGATGTGGGTCTTGGTGACTGGTAACAGCTTTACCTTGAAAATTAAATAAAAAAGATGAGAGACTGTACACTATATTTAAACAATATGGACAAGAAAGGAATGTAGGTCTTGATGGCTGATAACAGCATTAAATGAAGGATTAAATAAAAAAACAGAAGGATGTATACTGAGTTGTATATTTAAACATTGAGAGCAAAACAAAACATGTATCTTAGTGACTGATAAAAGCCTTATCTGAATAATTAAATGAAAAAGATGAGAGGATGTATACCCAATTTTAAAGTAAGGTGCAAACATTTACTAGTGGGCAAAGAAAATTAGTTTCAAGCCCTGTACTTTTAAATAATTTCTTTTTATCAAACTATAATCAAGGATATAATCATTTTGCCTTTAATATGCAAATAGTTTTCTTAAATGATAATAACAGCAGTTTGATGTAAAAATATTCTAAAAAAGAAGGAGCTTGCAGTGTTTTTATTCAAAAGATGACGACTTTACTTCTAATTGAGCATAAATCAGAAATTGACTGTTTTATTTGCTCCATGGTGTCTTAATTTTTTAACTAAATCTTAATTGAGAACTGGCAGATTTTATTCATGGAATGATGGTACCTTATTCAATTAAAAACAATACTTTTGTAATAATAATAAAAAAAAGTTTTAAAACAGATACTCACCTCTACTTTTGTCAGTGTTGCATTTTTTTATGAATAGTTCTAAATAATATCATAATCAAATTGTTCTACAACCATATGTGACATGCACACATACACTTAAGTGGTTTTGGCACCTTTACATGGTACATCTGTATCATATCATTCCTTCAAGACAAAGATATATACCATTAACTATTCAATCAAAGCCATCTATACTATCTACTCACAATTCATTTGACTCATCCTGGCATATAAAATCACTAAAAAGTAAAACTCCATCTGACACAACAACAGATATAGAAAAAATGAAGAGAGAGTTGAAAAAATGTTAGAACTTTTTCAAAGCTCATTTTGATTAAAAAAAGATACAGTTTAATACAGTATCTTCACTTATTAAAATCCCTTCCAAAAGAAGAATCAAATACTAATTACAGCTACAGTAAGAGAACTAGAAAGAACAAAGATAAATTCAACTCTCAGTTTATAATTCAGGGCAATAGTTACATTAAAATAGTCTACTCCTTTCATGATCCCATGACAAGTTGTCATTTGGTAAGATGTGCAGTCCAAAACTCCTGACACAAGCTCAGCATGACTACATCATGTAAGAAGACAGAAAAAAAACCTCAGATGCCATGAGTGACAATTCATCTGAGATCAATACAAAGACAATAATCATGACTGCAGATACCTAAACAAACTACACCAATTCCTACTGTAGAAAACAAAACTACCAGGGGCATCTGATGAAAGAAAGGATGCACATACTCACAGATGGAACAACAAACTTCATGCCCCTGTCCTCAATAAAAAAAAACAAAGTGAGCTGCATAATACAACTTTATGCAATTGTTTTCAATATACCTAAAGAATGAATGCTAATATTTGCTCAGATTAACCTAGTCAGGGGGTTGGGCTCTAGGGAGGAACTATAATCACTTAGAAAAAAGTAAAACAAATGACGGATGTAAAAATGAAAAATTATAGCAGCAAAGAGATCAGGTGGAACAGACTTTGATAAGCCTCACAATATAATTAATGGTAGATACTTTTAAAACTGACTGTCAAAAGTCAATTTTATGACCTGTATTTCAGAATTCCATCTTTGAGGAATACCCATGTAAGATCTGCTCAGACTTGTATGGGGATTCTCCTCATTAAAATCTACCATGGGTTATTCAACAAAAATATGAACTTGGAAAATGCTTTTATTACAAAGATAGCAATGTACTTGACTCATTCTCCTTTGGTGAGTAATTTTGTTCCTCTGTATCTTAAATTTAGATGTTTCAAATGCAAAGAATTAATATATAACCATATATTACTCTTGTGAAGGATTGTTTTTCAAGATAGGACAACAATGTTAACACCACAGTTTTCAATGGCATGAATGGGTATATACAGAAAATTATTAAGTTCTCACTTCAGAAATAAAATTAGAGTAACACATCAGCTGTAGCCACTTGTCAAACCAATTCAATTCTTTAATTCATAGTTTGTATCAATGGAGGAAAAACTTATACAAGGTGAGAAAACATACTTTAAGACCTACAATAAAACTGTAAAGTTGATTGTATAAAAAAGAATCCTGATTTGGAGATGTGGAAAAATATTAACTTTACCACAATGGATGAGTAAGATAAATATGGAGAATGTCCACTGGTTACACTAAGAAGAAACCAAGCACAACTACCTGTAATATGAGTAAATCCTGCTGGTAAAGGGTGAATATTGCTACGTTCTATGTGGGTAGCTTCCGAATGCTGCTGCTGTTGCTGGGCATAATGTTCCCTAATCTGCTGGTGATAAAGTTGAATTTGGTAGTTTTCATCAAGCTGATGCCAGGCATCTTGGGCAACGTCTTGATCAGCAAAACCTGAAAGTTGAAATCTATCTTCTGGCTTCATACCTGGAACATGACCACATTTATATCACTGCAACAGTGAACTCCTGATAGTTTACAAGACTGTTACTGTCATAAAAATATGAAGCTATTGTTTTTGAACAAAGTTATTGAATTAAATATCACTATAAAGGACTCAAAATATGGAAATGTACAATTTTCAGTAACTGAACTAATAATTTTTATTTTCAAAACTGTATTAGCAGCCTACAACTGACTTTTATGCTACTTTAATTCTTGCTCAAATTTTCAAAGCAGCAAAGAAATCCCTCCCTAAAAGCAACTTGAGTTATTTTTTACACTTGCAATAGGTCAGAACTAACAATAACAAGTGGATTATGATAAGTAAAGTGCAAGTTTTTAACATCATATTTGTTCAACTAAAATTGGATGGAGGTAATTTAAATTCAATATTTCTTTAAATCTCTGCTTCGTATATAAACTTTTTGACACATTATGTCTGACATTGGCCAAAAAGTGAATTAAAGTCTTAAAAACTATTGAAATGTTATACTTTTTCACACCTTGATAATTTCTTTCACCAAATACTTGCTTATCTCTGGTGAGTAAATTTCTACCAGCAAGCTGATTTACATAAACGTGAGACTGGAGTTGATGCTGAGACTGAGCAAAAACAGAGGATGTACCAACAACCTGATGATGTGGATTTGTCTCTGGACCAGGTAAGCACTGAACAACAGGGGAAGGAATTACATTTTCTGCTGACCTCGAGTAGGATTTATGACTAGCAAAATCTCCAACATGACATCCTGGTGTTGCAGAAGCTGGTTGTACCATCTGGGAACTACCCATCCTACATCTTGCTAAACCAAATAAACCTCCAATTCCAACAGCCTTTTCATGAGAAAGTGGCTGAAGAGCTGATTGTGATCCATCATTCTGTTGTAAAACTCCAAGTGTCTGTTGATTCAGAGAAGTTTGAGCTTTGGCACATTTTTGTGCTAAACTAGTTGGATTGGGAGGTTCATGTCCATGAAGTGACAATACACTGCCTTTCTTTGGTTGGACAGCATTCTTCTTTTGTGACTGGTCATTTATTGTGGTCCAAACATTAATAACTAAAAAAGAAAAGAAAATATTACAGTTATAATTCTTGTACCATCATAGTAATCACATACACAAAAATCTACAAAAGATTATGCAAACTATAGCCAGAATATTATGTTAAAAAGTAGAGACAAGAACTAAATATTCTAAGATTTAAAATTAATGATTTTGTATGCAAAATAAAAAACAATTCATATCTCATTACAAATGTAATCATAGTTTGTTTTATTGAAGACTTCTTTTTTGAGAAACATAATGACTTGTTGTTTAATGTGCAGGTGATTAATGTGAAAAAAGAAAATACACAGAATTTCTGAAATAACTAATACCATAGAATTTTAAGATCAAAAAGCATGTTAAAAGCAAAAAGAAAACAATGCAACTCCAAGTCCTACAATATCTTTTATTGAACATATCTGTTTGTGAAGCTTGTAAAAAAAAAGCAAAACATCTTTGTTTTGTTTTGGAATAAAGTAGTTTAAAACAGTTCCATTGTTAAGCAATTTTTTCTTCTTAGTCTTATGTATTTCTAATATATGTAAATGTGGTTAAGATGAAATAAAAAAAACTATTCAGATGCTGTGTAAAAACACAACTTGTATTTAACAAGATTTATACCTATATGTAAAATAAATGTATATAATATTAGATTATCATGAATAGGTTTTAGAAAAGAGAATAAATAATGCTTTGCTTAACTCTATGTATATGGGCTTGTTCATTTTGACCAACCTTGAAACTATACATCTTCACAAAATTTGTTAAACTTTTATTAACCAATTAAGTCTGTTGTACACATAAAAGTCAAATTTTTGAATAAAGCAGTTTTACAAATGATAAATCTGCGAACTTACAAAGCCACTACTGAGTCCATCTGAATGAATGGTGGTTTTCATGATAAGAATAAAAACACTTTTCACCTTACACTTTAAGTTTTACTAAAACCTCCTAAATGAATATCAAAATACTTTTATTGGTAAAATTTTATATTTATTTCTTATTTTCTCTACCCTAACACCAACTGTATTGGAAACTGTGAAACAAAGTCTTTAAAAATACAAAGTAAAATGATGAATACCCTTATTTTTTCTAGAAAGACGAGATTGTAACAGACAGTTATAATTTCTATTCTAGCATAGTCTCAGTTTTCTACATATTTCACATCTGTTTGTTTTTAATGTTATTACTTCACAATGCCCTTTAGGTTCTATCTAATGACATTATAGGCAATTAACCACATTGAGAGAACTCACTGTAAACAACCAATCAAGTTACAATCACATGATACAGTTAGCTTGAGCTGGTCTTGCAAGTTTTTTTTTTTATTTACATTTTATCATCCAACATAACAACTTTATAGCATTTATATTTTAGTAACTTTTTTTAAAAAATATAACAATAATTAAATAATTTACATATAAAACAAGAACTTTAAAACTTGCCTAAACAAATCTGTACTCAAGAACGTACTTCAATAAGACTACTTTTTTTTTCATGCTACATTGGTTGTCTAGGAAATAATTAATGTTGTTTTCAAATATGCATTTTGTAACATAAAAAATACTGGGCACTAGAACAGAATGTCCAAAAACTACTACAATTTAACTCATTTTCTACCTAAGCTATAAATGGGTTTAAAAAAGTCTATCACTTTTCGGAGCAGCGACTTTAGTCAACACATTTCAATATTTCCTTGCTACTTACTGACTTTGAGTGCCAAGCAGACAATCATCAGATTCATGTAGTTCAGAACTACTCTTTCTGTTGGTTATAAACAGAACAGCAATGCAAAATAGAATTACAGACATGTCTTAAACGATATCTCAGTTAGGCAAGAAAATTGGATGTTAATGTTTAATATTCTGGTTTGTCAATATCTATGTCATGATTTTGTAATTAATTTAACACCAAAACTCATAAAAAGGTAGAAAAAAAAAACTGAAATGGTATTCAAATCACAGATGAGTCATGTGACACAGAGAAGTGAAAAATGAGAAATTATCTTAATATTTCCTTTTTAAACTAACAAATTACAATTTGATGACAAGCTTATTGACATACATTAATAATAAAGTATATTAATTAATTTCTGAACGTAACTCTGTAGAAAAGTTGTGACGAGTATTTTAACCCACCCGTATCCAGAGGGTTAAACTGTCAACAAGTGCTCTTGCTGCTAGACTGTTTGGCTACAGAAAAAATATCTGCTGTTAAGAATATTGATGTTATTTGTTGTTTTCACTTATGTTCATAAACTGAATTAACAAATGATAAAATCATTGACCATAAAAATATTTTCATATCACTAAAACAAATAGTTGGATATTTCAAGATAGACAAGTGAGATTCTTATAGTGACTTAACTAGTCTCACCAGTTGCTAAGGTTGAGAAAGCTGTGGAGAAGATAGGTAATTTGGTGGATGGTTCTAAACAGAATTACTTTTTTTACAGTGCATCTCAGAATGAATGATATTGTTTTATTACAGACTAGAAGGGTTCTTAACAATGTTTAACAAACTTCTGAAGCAAATGCAAAACAAAAGTTGGTATGGTGCTCTTTCACTTCATTTTTGGGTAAGATTAAAGCTGAAAGTTTTGAGTAAAGTGCAAGGATTAAATGGGTGAATGAGCTGAGATATATATATAGAAAAAAGTTATCTGGTTAAATTTATGTAAAGTCTGAAGGCTAAATATATGCATTTGATCATAATGGGCAGCACTTAATCAAGTTGTAAAGTGTTTAAGGAAGTTCTTAGCGATTTCATTGTGAACTGATCAAACTCAATTAAATAAACACTAAGAAAGACATTGTGACTTTGGGTGATAATGTTTTGGTTCTCAGTATATGTGAGGCTTACAGATTACACATTTCTACTGAAAAGTTAAGAGAGTTTTTTTTCGTTCATAACAATTTAACAAGATGTTAAAACTAAAGCTAGCTTATTGAATCTTAAGGTCATTAAAATCTTAGTGAAATGAAGACAAAAAATTGTGTGACATTAGAAGTTTCCAAAAGAAATATGAACTATCAAGAAAATAAACAAAAGATACAAGTTGATTTGCTTGTAAGAAATTAGTTTACTGCTTGTGAGAAACATGATTTTAATGAGATACGTGACCATGAGGTGTTTGTTTTGAAGCACCTGAAAGAAAAAGACAAGAAATGTTTGATAATAGTTATGTAAATACACATAACTTAGTTGACAAAGAGAAGCAATCTCACCATCATGAGAGAATGCTTTAGCAAAACTTTTTGGGAAATTTGTTCTTAAGAAAAAAATAAAGAGAGAGTTTTGGGAGATAATATGTTCCTCACCAGATAATATGAGAAAAAATAGTTAGATATATTATATAAGATAATTTGATGGTAGATTGGGAAGAAAATTTTTTAAATTCCACTATTTTTCAAAGGTAAAATATTTCATAGAGCATTAAAATTTTAAAAAGAGTAAAGCTCTTTGTTCTAATTAAATTTACCTTCAAATGTAGAATACTATTGGTAAGGGTTTTAGGGGATTTTGACAGACATCTGCAAAAAGTAGTGTGGGGAATTTTTAGTGGTTGGAAGATCACTAAAGTGATTCACATTTTAAAGAATAAAGGATTAGATGAAACACTGGAAGTTACAGACCTATTAGCTTTAGCTTCTACTATTATAAAGAAGCCTGAATTTATTGTCAGTGCAATGTTTGTGTTAATGTTCTTTTTACATATAAATCCATAAGTGCTAATATCAGGGATGGAGAAAATTAGTTTATAATGCATCGTAGCAACACAGACAAAAATTATCTTCTTGTTGCTCTTTTATTTATATTCATCACTGTATAGTTTTCAATAAAATTGAGCTGTTTCATCTGCATTTACATTGATTTCACTCTATATCAAACATACTGTTTCTTGTGGTGTTGTATACAGAAATATTCTGTCCTGTTTTATGGAATTCACCATACAGATAGTTGACTTAAATGTAGTGCTATTTATCTTCAAAACTGTGTACTATCCAATGAGAACCTTGTGATACAAAAAAGCAAAGAAAATATCATGGGCAAATCAATGCAATGTAGAAAAAATTAAGATATTACTACATTTATTAAGAAAAAAAAAATTAATCATTCTTCTGTCTTTAAGTATTGTGTAAAATAAACAAGGAACCTAATTTTTTCCAAGTGGTTGTAGATTAAATACTTTTCAATCCATGCCTGTAATTAAACATTTGGTGAATTTACAGCTTCATAGTTCAAACCGTTTCACTTCACTATGTAAGGGCAACCTAATACTGTTTCTGCATAGTTAAAATCAGAATGTTGATAAGGTGTTATCACTAGCCAGGCAACCTTCAACCAATAATGCATATTTAAGACTGAAATGTTGATAAAACAACTGTAGTATCATTGATCATTCCTATTAACTCTTTTAGCACAGGTTCGGTCCCTGGGACTGACCTCAATTATTTTGTACTTGTTATAGTTTTCATGCTATAAGTTTTAAATTAGCAAGCACACATTAATGAAATTTGGCAGATTATCAGTAAACATTACAATGCTTTCATACGCAAAATATAATTTTTTTTATTAAATCTTAAGTAAAGCAGTGTTTTCTCATGCTTTTTTTTTTCTTTCGCATGTTGCCAATCCAACATGCAAGGTAATTTTTCATTTTAAGATTAAAAATACTTTTGTGCATTAGAAAATTTTTCAAATTTCACATGCAAAATCTTTATGATTTCCAGATAGTTATCAAACATTTCTCAAGAAAAAAAAACTGTATATTTTATCTGTTATTTTCAGTAACAAATTTCTGTACGGATTTGGTCGATTTGACCAATCTTGTAACCAAATGAAATAAATATAAATTATGCCTATTTCATTCTAGAATTACTACAAATTATAACACGAAAACATAAATATTCAGATTAAATAGCTTAAATCTCATAACATTATACATGTATATATATATATATATTTATTATTATTATATTGACCTTTCAGCCATTCCTAGTTAACAATACAGAAGTTACAATTATGTGGCGCAAGTGCACTCATGTTACCATATCCAATAAACTAAAACTGACCTTTAGTCTTTACAAAGTGAACTGTCTTGGCTATGTTTTAGTAGACTAGTATTTTGTAAGATATCGTCACATTTCAATTATTATACATTACATATGTATTGATTATTATTATTTAGAAATAAGTTCTTAAACTTATTTTTCTTAAAACACAGAACAGTAAATGAAGAAGTAAAGCAAACAATTATCTCTTCTAATTACGACCTTTGTACTTGGTTGCTGCTTGCGGTAGGTTACTAAGACTTTTAAAATTTTGAATGTGGAAGATATGAAACAAAATAATTTTTTTTATGTTTTTTATATACATTTGAATAACTAAAAAATCATAAATACCACAGAATTCAAATATAATTTATCAAGCTTAGTAACTAAGCTGTATTTCAGTCTAAAAAAATATGAAATTTTGAGCAGACTAAAAACACAACTTACCTCCTTGAAATCTTGATTTGAAAAAAAAGAGATGGTGTCCAAAGACATTAAAATGGCTAAGAAAGCCACTAGAGGGACATTCTGAGCTTCTAATTAGTTATTCATGTCATATATAGAAGTAAGTGTATATATAAGGGAGCGTTTCCAAAAATGGAGAGGTGGGCAGGGTGCCACTGTTTGACTTATTACATGAGCAATATCTTAAGTAATTGAAAAGATAAGAGGCTCTTAATTTATATTCTAGCTTGTCAATATTGGTAATTTGAGTTCCTAATTCATATGAAACTATATACTTAGTATTTTGACATTACAAACATCTAATTTGAACCAGTGCTGCATTCAAAATACCACGTGACACACAAAAATCTACGTTTAACTGTGTTTTTTTAATATTTACTTTTAAATTAAGACATTGAGTAGGGTATAATACTAAAATTTGAATTATAATCTACAGCTTGATACCAAACTTATTGACATAAATTCAGGAAATAGAAGTTCAATAAAATTTTGAATGAGAGTCAACAAACCCGATGACATGGCCTTTTACCCATGAGCCATCTGGAAAGGGTTAATGAGCTATTTCCATGGCATTTTTTGCTGTTTCGTGTGGGATGCAACATGTTTCCCAAGCACATCCCATGCCACATGTATTACAATCTTTTGTTAAAGCTATGTTGAATAAGGTTACAGCATAAAGAGGAACTTATCTCTAAAGACAAAATTATCCTTTAAGCTATTGGTCCATTGTAAATGTTCTTGACGCTGTTGCAGTGAAGCCTTTTTCTATCTTGCTGTGAGTGGAATACACCTTATTAAACATGTCACATACAAGTTGACCTTGTGAAGTTAGTGTTTAATTATTACCTACACAATAAGTTATCACTCTGTTGCAACTGTGAACATCTGGTTTAGTTTTAAAGCAGGTAACCTGGAGTGATTACAAACTTTCTATTTCATACTAAATGTATCTGTAATATAAAAAGAGTAAATGTTCACTAAAAAAACATACTTGTGTATATGAAATAATTTTGGTTGATTAAAGAAACCAGGACATAATAACAAATTATGTAAGTGAGGTACAACTCACTTCTTAAATCTGGAGGATTTTCTTTCTTGACATACTTTCCTTCCACTCCATCTCTCAAATATTTGTGATCCTTCTTTCTTGACAACATCACATTTCACCCATTGTTTAAGTCTCTGAAAGATGTATACACAGGCAACTTGCATTATTTTGACACTGTATGTTTATTACATAAGTCTGTAACAATGAAATACAATAACTTTTTTTTGTGTAAAAAAGAAAGGATTAATCTAGAACAACCAAACCTTCTGTTTTTATTACAACAGTACAATATGCTAAGTAGCTAATAAGTTCACTGATGTACTCAGTGCTGTAATTGTCTTCAAAATATTAGGATACATTGCTAAACTACCCAGAGCAGAATAGTTTTATAACCTATGCTATGTTCATTTATTAACCATTTAAAAATACAATTATATCATTCTTAATACAAATACAGTTATTCTACATTGTTTTTATCTAAATATCATTCAATACAAGCTTGTTCCTGTTTATTCTGAATGAGTAAACATGAGAATGGCTACATATATTTACAAATGCACCTTAGATAGATTTTATTCCTTGGTGAGAAGAAGCCCAAAGTTTTGGATCCATCTATACCATGTCTAAAACATAGCAGCAATTATCTTAATGAATATTTGTGTATTGTCTTATATCCTTCTCTGAAAATACTAATTATCAACTGCTGGAATGCATGCACAAAAATTTATATTTAGCAATACAGGCAACAAAAACTGTAGATAAATATCCAAATTTAAATTTACTATAATTAATAACAGCACATTCTCAATCTCAAAATATAATTACCTGATATATTATGGACAATCTCAAAACAATTACTTTTTACTCTCTTGCTTTCTGAAATTCTAAAATTATTCTCACAAGTTACATACATCAGGGTTCTTAACAGTCCTTAAAAAGTCTTAAACTTAATTCCTGTGAGTATTGATGCTGCATCATTTTCATAACTTTGGTTTATTCCACCCTGTACCTATGCTTAACAGCATTACAGTACTTTGCATTCATTCGATCTAGGCCTACACAAACTGGGAGCACAAAATCAAGTTTGCCATGCATTCATTCTGTCTATGCCTATTAATTGGACCGGGAACAGAAAATTGAGTTTGGCTTCTTTTGATAGACATGCTCAGTGCTGCTAATGTAAATAGTGGGACTAGGCCTACTGTGCTTAACACATTGCAGACAGGTTATGAGTTTACTCGTATTTCGTGCAAAGCATCTTTGTGTGCCACTTATTAAAATGTTGAGTTTGAAAGGAGTCGGATGCATTTTAATTTGTTCATAACTCAACTATAATTTTAATATTTATTTGAAACATACATAGTATGTACATGAGGATACCTAATTATTTTTAAATTGTGGTATCTTGTAAAACATTTTCCTATATTGAATGGAATCACACACAACTTGCATTTCACTTCTTTTCCCATGGGCAGAACAAACTCTGCAGGCTCTGGTAGGAAATTTCTTTTTTCCTGTAGATGAAATTAACATAGGAATATGCTGCTTTGGGGGATCCTTATGTGGGGCTCTCTTTGTACCTTCAGATGATGAACAGGGTTCCTTCCTCTCTAGTCCCAGTGAGCTTTCTTTCTCTTTGTCAGTAATCCATTCTCTTGCTACAGAGAGGAGGAACTGCTTATATTTTATTTTCTGTTGATTCAGGGCTTTGTAGATTATATATGAATTGAAAAGGCCACAACTTATTAGATAAAGTACTACCTCTTTTGTTCATTTCACTGTTTTTCTGAGAATGGTGTAGTACGAGAGGTACTGATTTGTACGATCAACACCTTTCATGTAGGCATTGTATTGGAGAACACACACACACAGGTTTTTTTTTTTCTCCAGCTTTCAATTTTTCTTTCCTGTGGTAGAAACAGATGAGTCATGGTGGGTGAAACCATTCTCACTTCTCTCTCTTGTCTTTCAATATGAAAACAAGAACATTATAACCTTTTCTATGAAAAGCTGTTTCACGTTTTTTCGTTGTTGAAACTTCAGCCTTCAAGCTTGGCAGCAACCCTCTATTCACTCTGATTGTTCTGCAGACTTGTTTTATGTTCTAGGAACAGGTTTGCAATGGAAGTACTGTTGTAATAACTGTCCTGGTATATGTGGTGCCATAATCCAAGATTTGGAGCAAGAACTGAAAGAATAGTCTCCTCTTATTTTTCCCCTCACCAGTACACATCTCCATGGTGCAGATATAATCTGTGTGACTCTTACACACCATTCTCACCAGCAGGCCATATTTTACAATTTTTGCAGGGTTGTATGTTCAGAATCTTAGACGTCCTCTCCATGGAATTATGCCCTCATCCAATGACAACTCTTGCTTTGGTTTGTATAGTGTCCTGAATTTATTGAGGAAATAATCCAGTACTGGTTGAATTTTGAAAAGCCTGCCTGCTGACTCATCCATTTTATGATTATCAATGAAATGCCAAAACGGCCAAATCTTTTTTTGGCTAATTGTCTGCAAAAATTTTGGGCTAATCAAAAGAGGATCTGTTGACCAATAATACTTCCAGTTATATTTCCTTGTCTGTCCTATTAGTAGGATAAGGCCTAGCAATTTCCTCATGTCTGCAGACCATTGATGTCCTTTAGATGACATTTTATTATGGTAGGTACACATTTCCTGAGAAAGCATTTCAAACAAGTCATCACCAAACATTAGACTTGTCACGGCAGCAATACTTTCAGGTTCAGATGGAGTTATAGTGACCCCTGGATTTCCTTAAAACATTTCCAAGTTCAGTGGAATATCTATTTCTGACCAATTATCATTATCACAACGGGAAAACAAATCACTAATAGAAACATTTGTAGAATCATCATCACTTTCTGATTCAGAATCAGTTGAAAGCATAACAACTTTACGTATCTTTGTAGGTCTAACACCACTGTAGCTAGAGTCACTGTAAGAATGATCCACAAACACATCCACATCAGAATCTTCACCTTCACTTGGAAGATCTGACAAATTATCATCAAATAGTTCAGTAATTATCTCATCTTCACTCATCACATTATGTTTTCTGTGAGAAGCCATTTACAGAAATATGGTTACTGTAAACAAAAATCAGAAAAATAATAACTGCCCATGACAAAATAAAACATGTCCAAGTCCTTTTGAATGCAATATTTTAATAAATGGCACACAAAAATGCTCTGCATGAAATACGAATAAATTTGTGACCCATCCACAATGTGTTAATGCATTTCCTGCTTGATTTTCTTTTTACTTTTGAAATTTCACTGGCTTTCTAGAAGAAGTTGAAACAAAATTCAACAGAATAAATGAGCAGATTCTCAATGATGATGCATTTTTCATTAATATTCCTCTTGCAGGATTATATGATCCAACAAGTAGCATACAAATAGATGTCTACAGGTCTTAAATGTGTCTTTAGCTTGGTCTTAAAAAGGACTCAAATTTAGTAAGCTGATAGTGCTAGGAACCCTGCACACACACACACACACACATACATACATACATACATACATATGTATATATCAAGCATGTAATTTTAGTTTTGTTAGTTATACTTACTTACCATTTTTTAAACACATGCTTTCACTCCTAGCAAAAATATTAAGATTCCCATGTATGTTATTTGCATTGTATGTAAGACAAACACAAAATATTCTTAACATATATATAAACCCAAATCAACCTAATAGTGACATGAAATCATTATCAACATCTTGATTTCATTCCTTCATTTAAAAGAATTGCTCCATTTGATGCTTTTTATCAATGTTCTATCATTTTACCAATTAAAAAAAATATATATACTCAGTACAATAAGACAATATATAAACACCAATTATTTATATAAATGCTTAAAAAATTTTTATTTTCAGGCTATAAGTATAAATACAATGGTTAAGACTAGTGTAGGAGTTAAACATTCCCAGTTTGTTAGGTATACTAGGTGCAATGAGTGAGTTTCATTTGGGTACTGGTATGTACTTTTAAGTAAGCTAGTAATGAAGATGTGCAATTTTTATGTAGAGATTATAGGTTGGTGGAGAAATTGGAGGCTATAATGATTAAAGTAGAGGCAATAGATAAAGAAAGGTGTAAGCTGTGGGAAATGGCAGCAGGATTTCAAGAGGAGCTTAAGCTTTTACATGCAAGGGATACATCAGCTAACAATGACTTTCAGGCATTTGGAAAAGAGTACTATTAGAGCTAAAAGTAGTGAATTTAGTTATAATGAGCCTATTTTGTTGAGCAACAAATTTCAGCTCTTGGCTTCTGCAGAAAAGGAACTATTGGAGGGAAGGAAACAAAAGGATCAGAGAAGGATGTGAATGATAATGAGTTTATAGTTATAAGTGATTCCTTGACAAGGCATGTGGATAGAATAGTCTGTGGGGTAAATAGGGAGAAAAGAATCAAATTATGCTTCCCAGGGGAACAAGTGGAGGATATAACTGACAGAGCAGGAGATATAATAAAGAGGGCTAGAAGAGATGCAGTTTTTGTGCTGCATGTAGGGGCTAGTGATGTAGGGAAAGGTAGGTCAGAGTAGCTAATTAATAAGTATAAGGGGTTGATAAAGGCATTTAAAAAAAAGGACATAACTTAATTTTGTCAGGGATACAGCCCAGAATTAACTGTGGGGATGAAGTTATAAATAGATCACTAGGGCTAAAGGCTCGGCTTAGGTTAGTATGTAATGATGAGCGGATTGGCTGGTTGGACTTGTGGGATCAATTCAGTGGAAGAAGCGAGTTTTTCTGGAATGGATGGTTTACATTTAAATAAGATAGGGGCATGCTTGTTTGCTATAGCTATTAACTCAGCT